TTTTTTATTTCATGCTATCGAAGATCTACGGCATCGTTCAGGAATGTAAACAATTTTCTATTTTCTTAACATTCCCAGACGATACGGTAGATCGGCGAAAGCTTAGAATAAAAGAGAAATACAGTTGCGCAATGTCTCAATCGAATCGTCCACTTGCCTGGTTTCTACGGCCTATAAAATATGGACATAAATTACTGTTTCGCTGTGCCCATTTGAGCTGTAATTGGACCCGGATTTCCACCAACCATAGCATTTTTTAGTTTTGTTGTTGCAAGGAAGATGAGCTTGCTGCTTTATCAGGCATTTCTGCGATAACTAACCCTGCATTTGTTTCTGTTAACTTTTATTTATGTCTACAATACACTCTTGGAGTTAGGAAAATACTTTATTTTTTTTAAGTAGGTAAATTAGTCTTGCAATATAGCAACACCTCGCGGGGGTCAATGCTTGGAAAAAATCATGCACTCTTAAGCCACCAGATCTGTAGGTTCTCTACATAATTGTATTGAGGGATTGGGATGATTTTGCAAACCATATCGTAATTAGTTCTTTTGTTTTCATTTTAGAGAGGAAAAAGAGGCTAGAAGGTAATTTATTTGTTATCTATTTATTTTGACCGTGTTTCAATATTTACTCTATACACTACACGTTGGATATGCATGTATGTTTGATAATAGCAAATATACTCAATAATACATTGACTTTCAATTCCTTTATTTGATAATAGCTCATTCTATTGACTTAATCTTAATTAAGCATGGTATTATAAATTTACAACAATGGCAGCAACAAAAAGAAAACACATTAGAATAACGCAGCTTAACGCTAAGAAATAAAGCTGAATCGTTCCCCGACTGCAAGATGTGCATCTCTGTAATACCCTCTATAGATAGAACTAAACTGATTAGGCTTTAACGGCTCATATCAATGTGAATCAGGTATTAACGGTCAAATGTTACCCGATAACAGTAATGGGAAATAATGCTGAGACTGATTAAATAGTATTGTTAGCGCAATCAGATCGTTTCTTGACTTCAGCAGAATCTGACTTAAAAGTAAACTCATTTTTAATTATACACCGAAAGCGCCCGCAGTCGAAAGCCATGTTTTTCTCGGTTCCAGATGTACGCAACCACTAACCCCACGTAATGCGCATGCTCTCCGTTAAAAATGGCAGACAGGCCAAAGAGGGAAATAAAAAAAACAAAACGATTTTCCAATGAATACTCAACATACACCCTCGTTAGAAAGGCGAATCTACGGAAGAAAGATACCAGACTGTATGATATTGAGATCGATATGATATTAAATCGATACCGAGGGCCCGTTTCCAACTTGCTAAGAAGTGCATTTAATTGCCTTCCGCCACGATTACTAGCTTTCTTGACAGCTTTCTGAAGACAGAATACTTTCTTTCTGAAGAATTCTGATATGCAGCTATTGATTATTACACCTCTTATACCTGATTGCTCAAACACTTTGTTTACGATTGTTGAAAGGACCGACTCATGGTTCTCCGTCTTAGTCTTTACATTGCTTTGAAATAGTATAGATTAGTAAGCTGAAACGAAAAATTAATAGGGAAGTTTACGAAAAATCCAGCAAACAAGCTTAAAAAAGGCATTTATTTAGACTTCATACTTCAACGAACTTCACAAATCTTACTTGTTTATCTTGTAAGTAAACGATGGCAGATTAATTGCCGAAGCGCTTTCTGAGTTTCCCGATCCCTCTCCTGCTGCTTTCACGCTTAAAAAACAGGAAAAAATCAAAAGGAGGAAGATACAGCTGTTTTGAAACGCCATTTGACAAAGGTAAATCTGCTTTTTGTTCGACACTTTACAAATCAAAACAAAGGAAATTTGCTCCTCTTTTTGATTCTGGCGGTACGTTTTTAATGTGCGCCTGCGTAAAAGAGATATCGCCTGAGACCCTTCGCTCGGTCGTGTTTTGATCAAAAACGCCTTGTTAATTTCAGGCAACCGCTCGTAGAAAAGGTAAAAATGACGAGGGAAAAACTTTACCTTCAAGTTAGAAAATTAGCGAAATAGAAAGCCACAATATTATAGTTTAATATTTCAGAGGTACATTGAGTGCTTTTTCCGTAGAGAATCCGCACGATGGTAAAACATTCGAAAATTACACTCGATTTGAGTGGAGTGTTGAAGTGGGCGTGATCACTACATTCGTGTTAAGACTATTTGTACCCCATGAGTTTGATATGGGAATAAAAGAGAAACTTAGTTGCCCAACGCCTCAATCGAATCGTCCGCTTGCCTGGTTTCTAAGGCCTATAAAATTTAGACATAAATTACTGTTTAAATTACTGAGCTGTAGTTGGCCCCGGAAACCCAATTACCATCGGATTTTTTAGTTTTGTTATTGCAGGGAAGATGAAGCTGCTGCTTTATCAGACATTTCAGCGACAACTAACCCTTTCATTTGTTTCTGTTAACTTTTATTTATGTATATATTACACTTATGTATACATTACACATTAGCGCAATCAGGTAGTTTCTTAACTTCAGCAGAATCTGACTTAAAAGTAAGTTCATTTTTAATTATACACCGGAAGTGCCCGAAGTCAATATGAAGCTAATTCTTCATTCTGATTGGCTATCTGAGCGGGATCACCCGCTTTGATCCCACGCAATGAGAAATTTGTGTGGAGCGGGATGAACTAAGGTCGTTATTTTCGGACAATGTCGGCGATGGAATCGCAAATAGCCTTTATTGACCGAAGTTGTTCGATCTAGGTGGCTGAAAGTTAGCCTCATTTTTCGTTGCGTTTTTGTGGACCTTAACTTCGTCTCGTTCCATAAGAAAACGCATGTTAAGAACTCAGCCACGCTTGATCATTAACACTTATAATCGCTATGTTGCACTAATTACCATTTTTGAATATTTGCAAGTATACATATACGTATGAGAAATATCTCAGTACATGACTCTCTTAAGACAGAGAACAAACAACACCAGAAGAGAGAGTAGCATTATATTTTAAACACAACCTACCCCTCTTCACTTTAGATAAGACAGCCACAGGTTATTATACCTGCTAACGCATAATTTAAAAATTGTATCCTTAGCCCCTTTGGAAATTTATGCTCGAGGTCCTGAAGCTGTTAAGGCATACAACAAAGCCTTAACGGGGGGAAAGGCCTGCATCAAGAGAATACCAGTGATGTTGATCGGACAGGAGCGGACAGGAAAAACTAGTCTAAAAAAGTCCTTAAAAGGAGAAAATTTCAACGAAAAAGAGGAAAGCACAGTCGGAATAGAGACTGACTCTTTGTACTTTAAAGTATCAAAAGAGATTTGGAAGAGCGGAAAAGTGAAGGAAGAAGTAGAATTTGAATCAGAAGATCAATTTGAACACATAGCAACAGCGAAAGTGATCAGTGAATCATTAAGGGAACAAAGGGCAACTGCAGCGTGGTTGGTGCAATCGTTGGATTTTGACTCAGAGTCAGATTCAGAGTCAGAGTTAGAGCCTCCGGATGGATCAATATCAACTCGAAGCCCAACTAAGCTCTCAAGAAATATCGAGTCCTTACACAGAAAATTGCCCGAGGAAGTGGCCAGGCTGGTTGAAAAAATGCTTCAAGAGGAAGAAAGTGCAAACCACGAAGATAACATCTACTCAGTTCTGTGGGATTTTGGTGGACAATCAGTGTACTACGAAACCCATCCAATTTTCCTTACGGAAAAAGCTATCTATATTTTGGTGTCTGATTTGAGTCGTGATCCAGGCGAGAAAGCCACCCCGCCTGTCAAAACAGGACTTTTCGAGAACAAAGAGGACATTGACTGCAGTAAAACGAACCTTGATTATCTGGACTTTTGGATGTCATCAATTTATTCCTTGGTAAGTCCGGATGAGAATTCCAGCTCCCAAGAGACCGCTTCGAATGTTAGTCATGTTTTGCCATGGAGGCTTCCCCCAGTATTCCTGGTATGCACCCATGCTGACGTGCCGTTTCGTGGATCTAACGCCAGAGACCTTGCTCTAAAAACGTATGGCTTTTTGCAGTCCAAGATCTACAAGGAACATCTGTATAAAGATGTTTTCGTCGTGGATAATACAAAGTCTGGGAGTGAGGAAGAATGTATCGAAGTTAAGCGACTGAGAGAAGAGATCCTTGCTGTTGCAAAGGAACTGCAGCTGACGAAAGAAGAAGTTCCGGTGAAGTGGTTGAGGTATGAAAACAAGCTTCGCAAAAAGCATGATAAGTGGATAACACTTGAAGAAGCCAAGAGGATTGCATTTGAAGATTGTGGAATTCAAGAAGATGATGAGTTTTCCACTTTATTGAATTTTTTGCATGATCAGAGAATTGTGATTCATTTTAGTGGCTCTCCAGAGTTGGAAAGGATGGTGATATTAGATCCTCAATGGCTTGTTGATGTCCTCAAAAACGTAATTACTGTAAGGCGTTTTAAACACACGGAGCATGCTGTCAAAGACCTCTGGATCCAACTGGAAAAAACCGGAATCTTGGATGAAAAACTCATTGACCATGCTTGGAGAGACTTGCTCGAAAACCAAGAAAGTCACAACAGCCTCATTGCCATCATGGAGAGATTATGCTTGCTTTCCCCCTGGCCGTCATCTAAAGATAGCAAGCAGTACCTTGTGCCGTCCATGTTGATGTCACCCCCAACATATGACGTCCTTCAGCTTCTCGATTCTGTAAACATTCCATCTCTTTTTGTAACATTTGCATCAGGTCGAGTACCTCCTGGTCTATTCTCCCGACTTATCCTACATTTCTTCCAGTGGTGTGGCGAAGAATGGAACAGCGAAATGAGCCCACGGTTGTTTCATAATTTTGCCATGTTTCACATTCTTCCAGACCAAGGTATCTCTGTCATTTTTTGGTGCCATCCCTCAGCCATTGAAGTTTCTCTTTACAGCGAAGACAATGACGAGAAAAGAGTAGATATATCCCGTGCTGTTCACTGGAAATTGAGGTGCATACTCGAATGCATGCGGAATGAGTTTCACTGGCTGAACAACGTGAAGTACGATATGTGTGTCTGCTGCCCAGTCTGTTCTCAACCAGGTTCGGGAAAATGCCACGATCATGACGTGCGTGGATGTGAGTGTCTACACTTTCTGTCAGAATCTGATTTGCGAGAGCGTCAACATTGCAACAGGCCAGGACGTATCCTTCCTGGAGATTGCAGGATTCGGATCCAGCAGTTCAAATGTTGGTTCTTATTTGGAGAAGAAAAGGAAGGTGCCGGCAAGTCAACGAATCAGGTACGTTGCCAGTCTCATCTTTGGGTTGATAAGAACTAATATTTTGGGTTAATATAACGCTAATATTTTTTATGTTCAGTGTCATTTTTTAAAAGTAGTTTAAAAGTGGATTTAATTTGTTTTTTTAGCAGCTGCAAGCTCTTCACGCAACGAGTCGAGGCTCCTTCAGTGCAAAAGGCATATTTTCCGTAGAAGGTAAGGGTCCTTTTTTTTATGTCATTATCACATAATAAAAATGTCGGAGTTAAAAGAAGGGCTTATTTTGTAAACATCCCTTCTCGTATAATTTTACAGAAATTAGCATAAAATTATCTCTCCTAAACCAGACTTTTAACCAACTCAAAAGTTTTGGGCCTTAGCAAATTACATTCCGTCTGCTTAACTCTGTCTTATTGCATTTTTTTTTTATTATTTCAATTCGTTCTAATCATTTTCAAGGAACGAAACGGAAAGATCTTGCGCTGCCCGAGAGTATCAATACTTCCATCCAGTCCATTCCACTCAATTCAGCAAGTGATGTCAAGGATATTGTGATTCAGTTTCGAGAAGCTCTGCAGTTGGAACCAGCATCTTTGGTCAGTCCAGAGCCTGAGACGAGAATTATGATTCGTGCCCTTGCCCTGAGAGCTAAATCTGAGAAACGGGATGATTTGGTGAGACACTTACGAGAGATTACGCCTGCTGGTACTACTGGTGAGTTTAAAAAGATGATTTTGTTTTTCGTTCGGGGGAGAGGAAATAGGTTTCTAAGATATAAAAAAGTACTCACACAAGCGTCCTCTCAATGCAACATTAAAATAACGTCAGCGCGTGCTTGATTTTATTGTGTGGTTGTTTTCGTTGTTGATCCCCTTTTGATCTGCTCTAATATATATATATATATATATATATATATATATATATATATATATATATATATATATATATATATATATATATATATATATATATATATATATATATATATATATATATATATATATATGTATGTATGTATGTGCAATGCAGTGCAATGCTGACGCTAGAATGGAGGTAAGGCATATAGCCACCCCAAGTGATCTCACACATGTGGGATCATCTAAGCCATGCCAGACTGCTCAAACTAGAAAAACTAGTGAGCATGCGCAATGCTAGCAGCAATGACTCATCCTAGTAGAGTGCTCAATTTGGACATGAAAGCAAAGCTTTGTATGCCAAAGAGCTATATCTAACTGCAGACAGTACTGTTTCGGCCTTCTGGGCCTCATCAGTGCAGTGTATATATATATTTTTTTGTTTGTTTGTTTTTTTTGTTTTTGTTGTTGTTGTTGTTTTGGTTTTAAGTTTTCTAAAATAAATTCTGCTATATTTATCTTCTTTTATTGTTTGTTTGTCTCTACAGGACCGTTGCTGAATGACGATATGTCAGTTGGTTGCATGCCACATGAACAATACAAGGATTTGACATTCAGCCTCTCGGGTAAGGAATTAGGTCGGCTTCCGCACACCCATTTATTCATTCTAGTTGCAACTTTTGATTGAACTCCTAGGTTGTCGTCTCTCGACTCTGAAAATGACTCTCGAAAAAACTCGGACCTTAACAATATTTGATTTTGCAGATGCGCTTCGAGATCATATTCCGGTTAGATTAGTTCATAACTAACTAAGTTTCGTCAGCTTCCGTCAAACCCTTTCCAAAGGATGTGATAGCGATAATTTAGACCAATTTGGAGGATATCGGGCTCCAAGAAAAGGTCAGCAATTTATGCCATTTGACCATGAGGTCCACAATAGGGTTTGGTTTGAGGTTAAAATCTTTTTTTTCTTTTTGTAACACAATTTATAAAAGACCATAATATGTTTTTATACGTAGTTCGAGGGAGGTGGAAACTGTTGGCAGAAAGGCTGGGTTTCTCCCAAATCGAGATGTGCTTTTTAGATGAGAGAGTTGTGAATCCTTCTGACGTTGTTCTTGGCGCTGTGGCAAAGCATCGCCACCTGAGTGTTGGAGAAATCTATGACATCTTGGTCGACTGCGAGCTACCAGTTGTTGCAGATCTTATGTAATTGAATTAGAATATGAACAGCGGACGAAGGTGAGCGACACAGCAAGAAGCAGACGCGAAAAACAAGTCAGCAGCCGACGACTTATTAGCAAAACATATATGAAATATTGTATTTCCTGAATTTTGCATCAAAGTGTGAGAGCCATAATCTGTGTTAGGCAACAATTTTAGCAGTTTTAGAGTCACTTACAATCACACTTGTATAAAGTAAAAAGAAAAAGTTATAGATCGAATTTCAAATTAAGCCTTCGTTCATCTCGTGGTCAGATAACAAGCTTTCTTTTATTAGTTTTCCATTTGGATGCTATACTAGTTTTTTCTAATATTTGAATAGATTGATTTTCGTATAAAACGTTTGTTAGGTGACAAGAAGTAGTATCACGACTTAATCAAGCTTAAAAGCAGAGCTCCATTTTTTTTTGTTTTTGGTTTTTTTGTTGTTTTTTTCTGCCTTCAGCTAATATGTACGTAGAAGGTTTGGCTGGGGTAGTTTGTGGGGAAAAAATCGGTAATCCAGGGTATTTTGTAGCAGTAAGAGGGTGGGAATTCTTTGTTTCCTCAATGTATAGGGGATTTTGTACAATGACTCATCGTAAAATGAGCTTATAGGTGGTATAATGACGAGTGGGTCAAAACATAAATAAAAACCCTAAGAGGAGGGCACTTGCATTTTTCAACAAATTCTAAAGCCCAAGCCTAAGTAGTTATCGTTCAAATACAAAATCATTTTGTATTGTGGCAACAAAGAATATGTTCAAAATAACTGAGATCCCAAGAGCATCTTGATCTGATTGGTCAAAAACCTATTGTTCATTGTAAAACCATAAAAGAATTGAATCTTTTTTACCTTGTTTTACAAAAGCAATAGTATAGACCGCACTTCTATCGGTTCACCGGCGTTGGGATGTTGTTACGTCGGGAAAACAAGGACTGTTGGGAGAACACTCGAATAGGTTGTTATACTCACACGCCTCCGGATCGTGATGTATAAACTTATTTATCATTCTCCCAAATCCTGCCAGGGCCATGACGCCGATAAACCGATAGAAAGTGTATGGTCTACTTTCATAAACATGAAGCCAGTATGGTTTGATTTAGAGCAATCATTGTATTTGAAACGGAAGAACTACGGCGAAGGACTAAGCCGGGTTGATTTATCTCAACTAACAGTGACAGCCTTGGTTAGGGTGAGGCAGTCTTCCACACATTAGAGTCATGGCCTTTAATCCAGTTTCAAAAAAAGTATATTTTCTTTGTTTTATGGCTAGTTTAATGAAATTTTTAGATGCACCAGTAATTCTAATTTGCCATTTGTAGCGAACAACGAATTTTTACATGGTGAGCACATGATAAAAGAATCCAGTTTTGCATTACATTTATTGTCTACATGGCTACGTTTTGGTGCTAATTTCTTTATTTTTGAGTGTTTCGTGCAAGTAATTAAAGGATCAAGAACAACAAATGTTCATTAGATCGGAATATTGTTACAACATAATAGCAGGGACTTACAGTGCAGGGAAGGGATAGGATCTTTTGCTTAAGAGTTCGAATAAGTAACATACAAGACTCGTTTGAAATCTAGTCGTAACCAGTAATTTTTTCCTTCTATTCAGCATCGAAAAACTTTCTTGAAGCGCGGAGCTCGAATAAAGTGACAAGTTTTCCTTGTACATGTAACGTTTCTGTTTTGGTATCCAGTTCTCATATTATCTTGACAAATTCACTGTTAGAAAACAATGATTTCGTAGTTAGTAACACATGTACACTCTGAAATTCGCTTCTCGGGTTGATGGAAGAATAAGACGGATTTTTTTTCAGAGAGAAAAAAACTTAATTGAACATCAGATTAACCTTTCAGATTGCAGTTACCCATTTACACTCTTAGGTAGAGAAGGACGTTTTGAGAGTGAACTGCACTATTGAAAAACAATGATTGTTGTAGTTAGTAATACTCACTGAAATATATTAAATCATCGGTTGTGCACGAATCAGTTTTGAGTGTAGCTACTATAATAATAAATATAATAATAATATAAATATAATAATAATGCTACTGTAGCAACACATCTTATCTTCCCCTTGACCTATATATATTCCTTGCATGCCAATGTAAAGCCAAAATAAAATCGTGTGTTTTAGCTTGACATGTGATTGAATGAGAAAATTAGTAAATCTTAGTTCGCTGGAAGAAAGTGAAAGATGTAGTTGTACATTTTTCCTATTCCATTTTTTCAGATTCCCTTTTTTAGCCGTGGTTAACCATTCATACTCCTGAATAAAGAAAGACGTGATGAGAGAAACGTGTCTCCCATAAAAAAACAGAACACAATGAACTGAACAGGGCAACTGAAGCTCTTCACCGCCCCCCCTCCCGCCCCCTTCCACATCTTCCCCCCGGTGCCAAATTCAGTTAAGGCCTTTCTTGACCTTTCATTCCAGCGTTTAGCCATTGCTGATCATAAACCAAATTCAAGATGACTGTTTTTTATTACCCTTTTTATGTAAATTGTTACAAGTGTTAACTTAATCTTTCCCTTTTTCCTAAACTAGCCTTTTTTTTTTAAATTGATGTAGATAGTTTTTCACGATAACTTAATGAATCTATTTATTCTCAATGTTTGAAAACCTTCCGGTCCACCAGCTGAAACTATCCGGTGAATTCAACGAATTAACGAACGATAAAAATAAAATTAAAAAAACTGCCTAAGCATTGCATCCAGAACTTAATTAGTTTTTGTAATTTTATATCAATAACTGCGAACTGCGATTCGACGGGGAGTTGGACAATCAAATTGAAGTAACCTAAATGAACGATACGACAAAGAGAAAAAATACCAATGGCATGCGTTTGTTATTCTTCACAACCCTGCCGATAAACTTCAACTTGTACTAAGGACAGCGCTGACTTAATTCAAAAGCTCTGGTCTGAGTAATTCATGAAAACATAATTTTTTTAAATTGTGGCTCACATTCTAAAATAATAATAAAAGGACCCCACTCCGACCAGGAACTAAGTTGGCAGTCAACTGGCCCGAGTCCACCGCAACGCCAAGTTCCCCCTACATATGACATATATATTTAGTTTGAAAGGAAGATATGCCAGTGTTTCGAGTGATTTCCGTAAAACTCCGGAAACAGCTAAAGAGGATAAGGAAATATGTTATTCGTTGAAACGAGAAAGATATGCGATCGTGTTGCGCATGTCTTGGAATCATATTTGCTGTACAACACGGCGGAAAATGAAGGTTGGAAAGTTCGTGTTCAGTGAATAAATCATTCGTCTTTAATTTCTAATATTTATTATTGCCGTAGGCGGAATAGGTAGTAAAAATAAACCCCACAATTTCACCAAAGCAAGTACAAGTGCCGTGTTAAACGCTTCCACCACAAAGGTAAGTACTGTATTTCACAACCCAACCATTCATTACCTTTTCTTAACCACGAGGTCGCGTAAAATCACATGTACCTAATGTAACTAATCCAATGGCACGCAATGCGTGCAAACAAGACAAAGTATTGAAAAACAAAAACAAACAAACAAAATATCAATGTTCAGTGGCGACAACAAGATTTAATCAATTTGATACCCTTGTCTTCTTTGGCAGTTCAGTTCCTCATTTGAAAGTATGGGACACTTTTAAGTCTCATTAAGCTCAAATACGCCACAGTCTCTAAACTTCACTACCGTTTCAATTGTAAGGGCGCTTAGAAAACTTAATGATTAGATCCACGCTGGTCTTGACTGATTTTCACAGTCTTTTTTTGTAACATTTCGCAGACTTCACTAACATTTGCACTACGCAGTTACCCAAGCATTCTAGGCAGAAAAAAACGTCGTCTGTGAGCCCTAATAGCAGTTTGAATTGTGTGTATTGGCCTTTGAGTGGTAGGATACAACATCACTGTGTGTTAGAGAAATGATTTGCCGTTCGAAGGTAAGAGCAAACATGATAAACTGTTTATTCGTTTGTCTTTTAATGTAGTCACTAGAGATGTAGATCGCGACGTTTCGACTGCTTACTGCCAGTCTTCATCAAGCGATGGGGTCGACTCCTTACCATTTGTATCATGGTAATCTAATGCGATTGGCGGATTTCGATCCGCATTGATACAAATGGTAACGCTTGAGCAGTCGACCCCATCGCCTGATGAAGATTAGCAGTAAGCAGTCGAAACGTCACGATCTACATCTCGTGTGACAACATTGTGAGACAAACGATTAAACAGTTTATTGTTACTTACCACCACGAAGAGCAATAACCTCTTTTACGATAACAACAAACATGTTAATGTGGGGTATGTCGGTACGATGTGCAGAGATTGGATGGTTTCTGTTTGTACTGTCTTAAACACAGTCCTATTTCATTAATCATTCTCAGTCAGAGAGAGAGACAAACGTCGTGAGACAAACGATTAAACAGTTTATTGTTACTTACCACCACGATGAGCAATAACCTCTTTTACGATAAGAACAAACATGTTAATGTCGGGTATTTCGGTAAGATGTGCATAGATTGGATGGTGTCTGTTTGTACTGTCTTAAACAAAGTCCTATTTCATTAATCATTCTCAGTCAGAGATTAAACAGAACCACACCAGCAGTATTACAACAATAGAAGTTTGACCGAAAACATCTTTGGTATACCTTATGGAACTACCTTTCACAGTTCTGATCAAAACAAACTAAGCTCCATACAAAAAAGTAGACGAGCCTGACGCTTAGTGAACTGGACTTCGGAATTTGCTTGCGAAAGATCGCGAGGAAGTCAGACCACAACTGTATGACAAGAAGAATGCCGACGGCACTCCAATAGAACCAAACCACTAGTGGCATAATTCTTACTTAAAACAAACACATGAGCTGAAATTAAGATCTACTTCATTTGAAAGGAGTGAAAAAAAAGTGTCTGTATCACTGTTTATCCCTTCAAAACTTACGTTGCGAATATGATATATTCAGCGTATAAATTCGACGTAGCGAGGGTTAGCCCGTAGCTCTGACGAACAAATTATCTTTTCCAACGATGACTACATAAACTGTGACAAATCAACGAAAACCAGAGCACGTCAAGGGTACCATTCATAAATTTTACAGACCCAGTATTGGCTACCACGCATTGTGTGTCTCTGTTTTTGTCATGCTTTTCACGAGAGCGAGGTTGCATTGTTTCTCCGAAGCTTGTGGAATAAAATATAATCAACTTTGAGCTGACGGCCGCCGATAGCCAACGCCGTGCGCAATGAATACTGGTCAAAAATGGGTCTTTAACACTGGCATTAATGATATGAATAACGACAATACATAAACATGTTGGCCTTTTCCCATCAATATGATTTCAATTGCAAATTGCCATGTTGCGCTTAACCGGGATCGAGCCAGTCAAGATTTT